TTTCTTATATGATGATACTAATTTTGCAAGTTTAAATGATTCTTTATGTAAATCATTGAATGCATCTTGAAGTTCATCAAATGAGATTGAGATATCATTGTTAGAAGATGTTACCTCTTCTTCGCTTTCGTAGTCTTTGGCCATAAGTCCCAAATTTACAACTTCATTTTCAGAGTCACTTGTAGAATCCATGTCATTTTCTTCTCAAGTGATATAGGTTTTCTTCCCTTTCTTTTCTTTGAAACTTTTCTTGTTAGATTTTTCCATCTTTCTTTTATATATTGGACATTCTAATCTCAAATGTCCTGGTTGATTACACTCATAGCATTTTGGGGTTGAAGAAGAGTCTTCTCCTTTTCTCTTATTGTTGAAATTGGATCTTTTCCAGTTTCCTTTGTTTCTGAGGAATTCGTTGAATCTCTTTATAAAGAGACTGAAATCCTCATCATCCTCTAAATCATCTTCCTCAATATTGTCTTATTTCTCATCTTTTTCTTGAATAAATGATGATGTTTTGAGTGTTATCCCTTTCTTTCTTTTATCACTTTCCTCATATTGATTTAGTCTAATTAGTTCCATTTCATGTTCTTGAAGTTTTCCAAATAGTGAGGCAAGAGACATGGTTGTTAGATCTTTTGATTCAGCAATTGCAGTCACTTTCGGTTGCCATTCCCTACTCAAACATCTCAAAACTTTGTTAATAAGATCTTCATTAGGAAACACTTTTCCTAGAGATGCAAGATGATTGATTATATGTGTAAACTCTTTTGCATGTCTTGAATACTTTCATTTTGATTCATTCTAAATAATTCATATTCATGGATGAGAGTGTTTTTCCTAGATCTTTTAACATCATTTGTGCCTTCATGTGTTATTTTTAATGTGTCCCACATTTCTTTTGCATTTTTACAATTTGAAATTCTGAAGTATTCATCTATTCCTAATGCAGAAGTAATTATATTTTTGGCTTTCAAATTGTATTGAAATTTTCTTCTATCATCATCACTCCATTGATCTTTAGGTAAATCTTTTATTTCATGACCTACTACAATAGTGGGAATGAATGAACCATTTTCAACAACATCCCATATGTTTAAGTCTATGGCTTCTATAAAAATTTTCATCCTAGATTTCCAATAATGATACCCTTCACCATTGAATATAGGAGGTCTATTAATAGAGTTTCCTTCGGGAAATAAAAAATTTGATGAGGCCATTTCAATTCTTGAAGCTTTCAATATCCATTTTTATTTGCTTCAGGTAATTTCGAGGACGAAATCTTTAAAAGGAGGGGAGAATTGTAACACCTCAATTTTTATTTCATTTTTATTTTTATTTTAATTGAGTGTATTTTAGTAATTTTTATAAATGTATAGGGGTGATTTAATAGCTTATAACGGGCTGTTCCGGAATTGGAACGGGCCGTTCCAAACTACCAAAATGTATGTGAGTTAGTAGCCCAGAATGGGCCTTTCTCAAGTTGGAACGAGCTGTTCTGGACTATTAAAACTACCTATAATCCTAAATGGGAACGTGCTTGGAACGGGCCGTTTCCAAAAATATGGCCGTTGTGAGTAATAAATGCACACCAGAACGAGTCATTCTGGTTTGAGAACGGGTCGTTCTGGATGTGATTTTTACTCATGATTTAAGGGTCCAAAACGGGCCGTTCCGAATTTGGAATGGGCCGTTCCGGCGAAGCCTGATGCCTATAAATTGAGCTCTCTACCACTCCCAAAAGGCACAGCTCTCATTTTCTGATTTCTTTTCTTCTGCTCTCTCTTCTTTTCCTCTACTTTCTGCTTCAGACCGAGGGAAACCTAACGAGGGAGATCAACCAGATCTTGTGTAGGTTCAGCTTCTACATATCCAGGTACGGGGAAAAAATGATTATTTATATGTAGAGTTACATGAGAGAATTAGGTAGAGGAAGAGTCCCTTAGGATTATGAGTAATTTTATAATTATTTCTGTTTGGAGAATTATTGGTCTTATGTGATTCTGTATATATTTAGGACTACGAATATATGATTTATTTGTAAAAATGATGCTCTAGGGGAGAGAACAAAATTATAGAAAAGTGCCTGTAAGTTAGGTTTTGAAAAAATTAGATTATTTCTATTTAAGGAATTAATGATACCATTAGATTCTGTATGTGTTGAGGATTAGAAATATATATTTAATTTATAAGAATGATGATTTGGGAGAGAGAACGAAATTGTAGAAAAGTGCCTGTGAGCTAGGTTTAGGAATAATTGGGAGTTTTACCGTTTATGTTAAAATTATATTAAATTGATAATTCTATTGATTGTTTTATTAATTTATGAATGTTATTGTTATATTACTTGATAAAAATTGATGATTTAGATGTGAATTGCTTGATGTGTATGAAACCCATTATTTTGGACTTATTTGATGTGTGTATGGAATTGAGCTATGAGATGAGATGTTGTATGGATATGAATATGATTATGATTGTGGTTCCTCACACTAATGATCAGGGATGAGACGAACCTTGAGTAATGATGCTTCAAGGACGAACGTGCCCCTGACATGGTGTGGGATGAGTGAGAAAATTAACACGCATCACTTATGTCAAATATGGCAGCCCTGGCATAGGATTAATTGCAAGACTTGTGTGGATTGTAATGTGATTGTGGTTCCTCACACTAATGACCAGGGATGAGACGAACCTTAGGTAGGTGATGCTACAAGGACGAGCGTGCCCCTAGCATGGTGTAGGACGAGTGAGGCAATTAACCCGTATCACTTGTGTCAGTTGTGGTGTGGCCTTGACATAGTGTTAATTGTAAGATTTATGTGGATTGTGATGGATTGATGTAATTGTGAATTGAGATGTGAAGATGATGAATGATTGATAAATTATGATATATATAAATGCTTGTAAATATTTTATTAAGTAATGAGTTATGATGAGATTACATTGTGGTGTGTTTGTATGTGCTTTGCATATAGATATTTTCTTTTCTCACCGTATAAATTGTGGATGTTTTAGGTGAGGAGGATCCGGCTCGAGTGGCATCTAGAATGTCAAAAGTTGAATTGTGGGTATGCTCTGATATTGTGACATCGGGGCAGAGGATTTTTTTAGGACATAGATTTTTTATATGGATTTGGAATTGTAAATATTATTTTTGAAAATAATTTGTAAACTCTTGCGTTTCATTGTTATTATTGTGGTTATTGAAGAATAATTTTGAAGATTCTCATGTGAACCCTTTTACCGAAATTGAAAAAATTTATTTGTAAATTTTCATTATTACAATATATGTGTTGGGGTAGTAAGGGTGTCACATTATGGATTTTTTTTAAGTGTCCAACAGTTTTACAATAACCACATCTTTTGGATTGACTATCTTTTCTAAGGTCCATATGCAAGTAGATTTAAGATAACCTTAAAGATTTCTTAACATTTTTTGATTAGGACACCATTCATCTTTATTATATTTTAGCCACTCATTTTCATCAAGCAATAATCCAAATGAAGTATACATATTAAAAATATTTTGTAATCTATAAATCAGAGAAAGGAATGACAAGTGGTTTAAGTGAACATCTACACATGCAGCTATGACATGTGAATAAGACATGTGTATCTATTAAAATTTACCAAAGTCACATTTTTGTGTTTGGAATAATATTTTGAATCTCTTTGGTGGTCGTTCACCCTCTTGTGTGTTTATTGTTTCAAACACAATGAATGATTGATTTTATCCATCAAACGTTTCAACTTTATGAGAGGTGAATTTTGCTATTGCATCATCCATCGTCTCTTTTGACAATTTTTCCATATTTGTGATCGGCTAACAACATTGCATTTGTTTTCTTCTCTCTCCTAACAAATAATTTAGCTAACTTGAAGTATGTTTCTAGGAGTAATGATGTTATTGGTAAATTTTGAATATTCTTAAGTACTGAATTGATAGAATCTATAAGGTTGTTGTCATATGTTCCCACCGTTGATCTATTTTATTTTTATTTATCACATATATTTATCAATTAAATTTTAACTTTTAAAATAAATTAACAACAATTAAAAATAAATTTGTGTCACAATACAAATTATTTATTATAAATATAAAATATAATTTATTCTTAAAAAAAAAAAATATATATATATATATATATTTATACAATTTAAAATATAATTTATATTTTTAAATATAATATTTACTTCTATACGTAGTTTATTATAAAATTTAATTATATATAATAAAGATTTAGAAAATTAAAATATTAATAAATATACAAATATATATATGAATAAATAAATAGATAGATATATAGCATATGAAATTAAAATTATTCATCTTTTAAAAATAAAAACTATAAATTTAAACTATTTGAGAAAAGGATTATGTACTATCAATTGTAAAAGTTCGAATCATAAATCACCATTTTAATAAATTTGTTAGTTTTTAAAATAATTATATTAAAAGTTACACAATTATAACTTTTAAAATAAATGAATTGTGAAATTTAAAAGTTAGTTAGAGATCATGCACTCTACTAAAAGGTCATGTACATTGTTTTTAATCTTAACCATTCAAGTATTATATAATAATGATTGATATTTATAAAAAATTTTAACAATAAAAATAAATTTACAAATTATTAACTTTTTTTACTATAATCCACAAATTAAAATACACATATTTTTAATGATTGTTAGTCATCTCATTTTATGATGAAAATAAAAAATATAATATAAAATAATATTTATTACTAGTATTTTTTTTATTAAAATCATACATATATGCATAAATACATGCATGCATAAATAAATGCATGCACACGCATGTATATAAAATAATATATAAAAAATATGTAAATATAAAATTATTTTAATATATATTAATATTCATAATTAGTTTATTATATTTTTAAACAGTTATACACATATTTATTAATATATTTTTATATAAAATTAAAAACTGTAGTTATAATTTTTAACAATAAGAATAAGAATAAATATACAAATTATTAATTTTTTTATATCATAATATACAAAATAAAATACTTAAAAATAAATTTTTATTATAATAATTAGTTATTTCATTTTTTATAATTAAAACACAAAGTATAATATAAATAATATTTTTTTATTAATTTTTATTAAATTATGTAAGCATGCACACATATATGTAAATATAAAATTATTTTTATACATATATTAATATTCATAAAACTATTTTATAATATATACACATATATTAATATATATATATATATAATTGAAAAATATAAAAAATATATTAAAAAATTCTAAATTATAATTTGGTATATATTTTTTTTGTTAAACATATTTACATAAATATGTGTAACTCAAGGGCTAACTTTAAAATCATTGTTTGAGTTGAATTTTAAAACTCTAATTATTTATTCCTATATTAGACTAGTAAAAATAAAAAAGCAATAGCAAAAAATAAAATGACGCTACATGCCTTCCTGATGAAAAAATTGGATAATTCCTTTAAAAGGGGTATAAATATATATATTTTTTTCTTCTTTATATATATATATATATATATATATATATTTTATTTCACTCTCAATAAATAAATTTGTGAGAAAAAAATATAAATTAATGGATATCAAAAGAGTGTATTTTTTTGTATTGTGTTATAGATTATTTTAACATGTAACAAAACAATAATAATAATATATTTTTTTAAATCTTGTAAATTATGTCAAAAGTAAAACTTAATTAATAAAGAGTTAATTACTTATATATTGTCAGTGTAAAATTTTTTTATATTGGCAATCAATTATATTTTTTAATAGTGTTATGTCAGTTATTTATTTAATAAAATAATAATAAAATAAGTAATTTTAAAAGATATGATTGGTTGTGAGTATAAAATTTTTTACATTAATAATATATAGATGATTAATTCATTAAAATATCAAAACTTGAGTTAAAGCTAGTTGTGGGTGCTTCTCATTCACCGTTCTTTTTTTTAGAGTACAGATGGATGGCTAGGATTGCATTCTTTTCGTGGATGGTGATGTCTTCGTTGTTCCATGCTAATTGCTAAAACTCAGCGTGCATAAGTGTCTTTGCAAAACAAAACCCTAACTAGTAATGGCTAACCCAACCATTATCAACTCCTGAAAAGTGGTTTTTAATCTTATCTCTTCGGTAATATTCTCTCTTATATCAAAATCAAAGTGTTTTGTCGTGGTTTCTTTCTCTTTGACCCACTCGTGCATAACTCAGCTAAACAGTTATTTTTCTTATATTCTAGGTTGGTACTACTGCAATTCCACTTCCCTAAAATGGTTCCTTATTTTCACTTTCGTTGCACCTATTTGTTTCGGTTTGGTTCATGCACTGTTTAGTTGCTTTAATAATTTTTATTTTCTTGAAAAATGAAATTCATGTAGGTGGAGATGAAGATAGGAAGCAAGTGAGTGCAAAAAAGCGGAACAGAGATGAAGTTTCTGAGAAGATTAAGAATAAGGTATTAATGATATTTGCATAACTTAAAAAACTTCAATTTCATGCCAGGATATTCATTATGATATTTATAACTTATTATGATTGTGATATGAATAGAATACTATAAGCTGTTTTCACCACTTACCAATGGTTAGAAATGCAATCTCTAACTACCTACCTAACCTAGTTTTATGCTGATAGAAAGGAAAATAACAGAAAAATAATGACAGGAGCTATATTGAACCCAAGAAAGAGAAATGGAAAATAGATACAGACAATGAAAATGAACATTTTTATTGAACAATTCAGAGTAGGATAAATAATTCTCATCAAGGCTTTCCCCTTTCTTGCTAATTTTATTGAACAACTAGTGAATTTTTCCTCCTTATTTTTCCCTGTTTATCTAACTGAGATCCCCCTAAGTAACTACTTTAACTGTCGGTAACTACTTATCTCTTCTCTTCTATCCTCACTGAAGCACATTTTTGCTATCACTTCAGCACATAGCACATGCTTGAGATTCTGAGTTTACATTAACATTAATTAATGAATGTGTTAGGTAGGTAGGAGTGCTAGGCATGCTGGGTGTAAGACTCATAAGGCTCTGGATATGTATGTGGCCTGTGTGAAGTTTAAAGTGAATATTCACCCGATGTAAATAATATTATGAATTCTTTCATGGAAGGGGGACTGAGGAAGGTGTGAGTTGTAACTTGTAATTGTAAATTATGCTAGAGATTATGATATAAAATGAAATAGAGAGAAATGGGAAGACATTCAATGATTGACTGAGGATTTGGGATTTTTGGGCAGGGAAGATGCACACTCCTCTAAGAATATGCAGTATCTCTACCTTTTTCTATTTTTCTCTCACCTATGCTTTTGTTTTAGGTGAATTATAGAACTTTCCTCTACTGTGATATCTATATTTTCTTAAAGAAATTATAGTTCCTACTTATTATTACAATCATTCTAATTATTCTGGCATAATAATAAATTATATGATGCAACTCAAAAACCTCCAATTTTAAGCTAGTTTAATATTTGACTATTGGAATAACACTGATATGAATATAACAAACTAGATGTCCTCGTTCACAACTCATGACAAACTTTTTAACTAACTAGATAGTCTTTGCATCCTAATTCATGAGTAGAGTCTTGAACAACCATCTCTAATATGAAGATAAACACATGAAATAGAGCATAATGCTAATGAATCAGTGTATGAGCTATGCAGGTTAAATATTCTCCAGTCCATTCTCAAACTACGTTCTCTAATAACAAATCAGGGCAAAATTATGTGCTAGTGTGAACAACACTGTAGTTAGCTAATAACAAAATTTTACACTTAGTGGTAGTTTATGCAATACACAATTGCTCTGCCCACTTGAATCTTTTACCTAAGTAAAATTACATATAGAAATGAAACCACTAAATTATCATGGCAGTTATAACAGCTGTTAAGCATCTTGATCTGACACTGATTTTTAAGATTTAGCGCCAGTTGCCAAATTTACTTCGACTCTATTATATATACACCAACTTTGTGGCAATTGTTCATAATTACCACTATTGAACTGCTACCCAAATTCAGCTTTGGTGAAGTGCTTGTTGTATTCTTCTTGGCAAGTGCATTATTTCACAAGTCAAATTTGTTAAATGGTTTGCATTACTTCAATGAAACAAAAAGTTACAGAATTAGTTTAAAAAGTTGTAAGAAAACATGGGATAAAATAGATGTGATGCTAAAATGTAAGGATGAAATGATAGTTGTGATCCTTCCACTCTTCAATTTGTAGCTCAATATTTTCCTAGTGTTTACAAGTCTGAGTACCCAATCTAATGTAAAAGAATCATGCTGATGCAGGTAGGTGGGGGTTTTATTGGTTGGGAAAAAGGGCGGATCTAATGGTTTCGATTTGGCAATTGGGTTTTAGAAAATAAACCTGGGAAACCCAATTTGCAATTCGTTGTTCTCATTCTATTTCTGAGTTACTAATGCGACACCCTTATTTCTCAAAATATTTTAAATTAAATATAATAAAGAAATATGGCGATATTTAAATATAATTAAACTTAACTCTTGGGTAAAAGATCCACAAATCCCAATGTCTTCACTAAAATAAAACTCCAATAAATAAGAAATATAAGTTCTAAAAATATAAAGATACTACTTAGGCATTGACACAAACTTTACAAGTTCTCAAATTGAATATAAAACATGATAAAATAAACTTTAACTAAGACAAGCTCATCACAAAAACCAAAATAACTAGTCTAAGTCCTGATGGTACACTCTATCAAAGCGACTTACAAAGAAAAGCTATGATGCCTAAGCTTCATCTTTTGCAACCAATTTCTACTCAACTAGATTATGCTCACCTGCCTATAGTGGCAATCAACCTAAACAACAACAAACACACAAATAGAGGAGTGAGACAATATCTCAACATTTTGAGGCATATACAAGAAAGGATCACATTTTAACACAAACTAGACTTAGCAGAAATAAAAAATTAGAAAGGAAATAAAATCAACTACTCAATTTAAATAACATAAATCAAATCCTAACTAACGCCTGGTGAAAATACCATCGAGAGCTCTCTGGAGTGTCCACGCCCAACATGATTCAACTCACGTTTGACGGAAGCATTACAGGGAATCCCTGGAGTTTCCGTGCTCGACAAGGGTCATCTCGCGCTCAACAAGGGTCATCCCACACTCGATATGAGAGACCCCGAGAGCAAACTTTGCTCTCGACCTCAATGACGCTTGACGCACTCTTAATGGCATCTGATGACATTAGAAACATGATAGAAACACAAAATTTTGACTTATGCATCAATTCACCAAAACATATCATTTAATCGATAAACATATTCTATAGCAAGTAAATTAATGCCCAATATCATCCAATTCACATACACAACTAATATCTTTCTTCAAAATCGCACCAAATTCCCTTAGGGTTTTCCATAGAAACCCACAGAGACCTCAAATCATACAATTATAATCCAAAAACATAAAATTAATCATACATTTTTACAATTAATGTCATCAATTATGGGTGAGAAGAATAAGGAGCAGAACAGAAACATAAGGGGAAACTCCTCATACATAGGCACACAATATACATAGGATTGGGGTCAATCCTACTATCCGACATACAAACTCACACCTAGAGCGAGATTTCTCAGTCTCCCCCCTTACCTGGATAGGCTCCAAACGACGGGTGCACGACTTTGAGGTAATTTCCTTCCTTGAAGCGCATACGTGAAAATAGAGGTGTAAAAGGATTTGATTAGAAAGCTCCTCTTTTAAAAAAACCTAACCTCCTTTTAACCCTCTAGTTAAAACATATTAAGCACAACTACAAATCCCTTCTCTTTTAAATAAAATATTATACTATTCTATAATAAAATATCATATAATATATTCTAAAATATATTACATAATTAAATAAATATTAAGCATTCCCTATTAATAAAATAAAAATACCAAAATTATTAATAAAATACTTATATTAGCTTTTATGAAAAATGGGATGTTACAACAAACATGCATGCCACTCAAGATACTTGTTGACACATGAGCTCTTATGCGTTTATATCTAAATGCTTGTGATACCATTTTCTTCGCATAAAACACTCACAAATATGAGGTAGCCTAGGAATCATGGATTGTATCACCACAAACTAGGACTTTAATTCGCTCAAGCGAATTTCTACTCAAGCCTTTATAGTGAATTCGCTCAAGCGAATTTCAATTTGCCTTAACAAATTTACAATAGAACCCGTTCACATTTTTGCGATTTTTGGTTTCAACTCTTCCCTAACCCTTCCAAGTGTCTTAAAGTTCATCAAACCAACATAGATGACTCTAAACATGAATATTATAACCAATTAACACCTTTCTCCCATAATACATAAATTAAAACTCAACTCTCAGATCATCAATCAGCAAAATTACCGAATTAACATCTATGAACCCTACTCAAGCAAGAGAGGGTAGAAAGCTCAATTCAATTCTATGAAACCTAGATACTTAGTACGACTACGATATGACATAGATACAGTGATACTACAATTTTTGTAAAATTTAGAATATGATACATTAATGAAATTTTATAGAAAAATTTATATAGATGTAGAATATTGGTAAAGAAAGAGATATTAATTCTTTCTCATTAATACATAATTATGATGATTACAATGTAAAAAAAGATATTTGTGATCATAACAACAAAATTTACAGTTTTTGCCCACATCAAGTTAACTATATTAATAAAAGCATCTTTGGCAGGACTTAAAACTAATATTGGTTTTATACAATAGTCTACGATTCAAAAGCACCATAACTAATTACTGTCTAATGCTAATTGTCACTCTCCTCCATGTTACCATCATTTATAAAAAAAAAAATTTTAAAATTTGGTTCATCTAGAGACAACTCTGTCAATTCAAAAAGTCTAACATCATCAAGTGGATGATGTATATCTTTACCAATGACCCACAACCTAGTCTCTCTTTGTTGTACTCTTCATCTTTCATAGACGAAAGTTGAAGGTCGAAATGAACATAAACCAAATTTTCTACCCTTTTGGATCCATTTTGTTTTTCTTCAAAGAATGATTAAAGGAGTATGCATTTCAATTCCTTTCACAGCATGACAAAAACATGACTGTACAAGAAGCTTAAGACAAACTTTTTGGATGCTTTTCAAATACGCATCTACTAGTAACCAATAAGTATCTAGGAAGTATCCGAAAAAAAAATTAAAAGAAAATAAAAGAAGATTGAATACTTTTCCATTTTTGGATGTCCAAATTTCATAGATTCAATTCAATTTAACAAATTAATTCAGCAATTAATCAACAAATTATTCAATAACACTAAAACACAGCAACACATATTACCAACACTAGCTTCAGGGTGTTCAAAAACCCTCCAGTCATGTAACAGAAATCCTAAAGAGGCATATTCCCACAATTCCCATATGCCACAAATTGAATACAATCCCTCTCCCCCTCTTACCTCAAACGCTGATTTCTAAGTCTCTGGAGTGATATTCACCAGTCTAGTTCTCGTTCTTCTTACTCCTCTTCCAAGAGTTCCTATGTAGTTTTCTCTCGAGCGTCAGGAAACACATAACTGAAAACCGAAGCGTATGAATCAACCCCTTCACTCTTAGCTCTGATAAGTTAGGCATTGGGTTGGACTTTTGAAGTCCAGACAAATCAACACACTCAGCCCCACATATTTGATTTTGTAGAAACACTTTTTATTTATCTTATAAACTCAAATAACTAAATTAATGAAGCTAATAAAATTAATGATAATTAAACAACTTTATTGTGTTTCATCATTAGCTCTGTGATTTGCCATGCTCCTCCACTAGTTCTTATGTTATGCTCCTTATTCCGACAACAAAACCATCATTGATCATTCACTGCTTTGCTTTGTTTTGTTTCTCTTTTTCATTGGTTTGTGCACCAGCAACCTCCACCATTCTGATTTTTTTAATCAAATTTGTTCTTTAAAATGAAATAATGCCAAACATGAAACTGACACAATCATGATTGGGTTAGTTTGGTTTGGGTTCTGTAAACAACTTTGCTACAACCACTGAACCAAATCATTCCAATTTCCAATTTTATTGGTTTGAACACTTTTTTTCCCAATATACTTCACTTAACCTGGAAGACTTTGTTTCATATTCGCATGTGCTAAATGATTTGCCATAGATCAATGACACGGGAAATATTTGTGAGAGAGCATTGAAGAAAAGACATAAAAGGGCAGCCCAGAGCACCTAGTTCCCAGTTAGTGGGGTTTTGGGGGAGTAGACGTATGTGGTATTGTGGCCTTTCTCTCGCAACTAAAGAAACTGTTTCTGGGGGATCTGAACCTATGACCTTCATGTTATAAGACAACAACCTTATCTATTATATCACTGTACCAAGGCTCATCGTGATGGTAGCAAAGAAGATATCTCATGAAATTTATTTTAGATATAACTATGCAAACTTAATTATTAATCAATATGATATATAGCATAAATCTTTGTACAAAACATTCTCCAAAAATTTTAAGAAATGTACCTAATGTGGAACAACAATAAGACATCATAATGATGAATTCACAGAATTTTTTTTTTCTTATCATATTCTCTTAGCATAAATTTATATGCCAACCTATATATATTGTAAAGTTAAGAAGCAGTAATATAATGCACATAATTACAATATAATGCGACAATATATAATAAGATTTTATTATATTATATTTTTTCCTTGGTAGTTAAAAGTTCATTCAGAATATTCTTATTTAGTTTTTCCCAACGTTATTAGAACCGGTATCATTAACATTCATCATCTAATTTTATATTATACTGTTTTGCGGTATTATCCTGTGTTACATGGAAATATAATACATCTTGCAGTGAATGATAAAGAAGATAGAAACTATGATAAAATACATATTTTGCACTAATACACACGAGTTCAGAAGTCTTCTCAAATTATTTTTGAAATCAATATAAGTTACAAATGAATAAATATATCATTTTACATTAACCAAATAGTTTATCAACTAATTTTACCAAATATTTTTAATTCAATAATTTAACTTATAAATTTTCAACCTTTTAGTTCCTAACTTATAATTTATAAGCTTTCAGCTAGTTTATAAGTTTTAGTCCGCTTATAAGCTAGTTGTACCGCTCAACTCGGTTAGGCCAAGGCGGCCTCCTATTTGCCTTGGTTGAGCCTCTAGTCCATTATTACAAAGAGAAACCCTAGACAGTTAAATTTCTAATGGCTAGCAAAATATCCTTGCATGAATATCTCTCAAAGATTTTGATTATCGTAATCAAACACATTATCATCACTTGACAGATTCAAGCAACCCAATTTCGAGGCTTAATGTTAGGAATTAAACATCTATTAAGGGGCACCTAGTATCATTCTAATCCTAAGCATATTTTAAACTTAGACTCTCCTCTAATTTGAATGTCGAAGTATATTTGCAGGTGTCCCACTGTCAGTGTTCGAGAGCAAAGGACATCATTCCCTTTGCTGGAGCACCTGCAGAAAATTAGGTAACAGCAGTATTTTTACCAAAACAATAGTAGATTGTGTTTCGCAACATTTTAGGAGCTTATAAAGCTTCTTTGACTAGCTTGTAAGATAGTTTGATCAAAATAAACTTGTTTGGTACAAGAGTTTATACGAGTTTATTTTAGAATTTTAGGAGCTTATAATTTATTTTCATAACCTAATTAAAGTAGCTTATAACTTATAAGCTTTTAACTTCTTTTTTTTCCTTTCTCTTTTTTGTCCTCATTAATTTATTTGAAATATTCTTTTACCCTTTTTAATTTAGAAACTATTTTGTCTATACTGTGTCATTCTCTCACTTATTATAAAAATCATTTTATGTCATTTTACAATCATGAACTAGCTTATTAACTAATCTAAACATTTTCAATCGGATCATCTAGCTTATAAGCTTCTAACATTTCAACTCCTAATTTATAGCTTATACTTTTCAGTTAGCTTATAAGTTAATTTTACCTAACACATCCAAAATAGTTTAACAAAAAAATAAAGACAAAATTATCAATTCAAATAAAATTAAAATCTTAAATTCAATTTAATTTATTTTGATTGAGAGAAGTATTTTTAAACTAAAGCAATTAGAATCTTATAATCTTTTACTGTGTAGTATTTCAAATTTGCAATTTGCCAGCTCAGCCAGTTGGAGGACGAAATGTGTGTAGCACTGAGCGCATTGCTTATCTTTTCCAGCAGGTTGAGACCCTAATAACTCACCTATAAAAGTGTCTCTTATCCATTTAGCATTGGAGTGCATTGCATGTCTTGTCCAGGAGGCCGATACCCTAGCCAACCTAACCCCTAAAAGTTTCTCTTATTGTGTTCTGTTCCTGATGGACAACAATTCAGATCTCAAAGTTTGTTTCACGACTTTAATTTTTTTTTTTTGGTGAATTATTTCTCTTTGAGGATCACGATTACTGAACTATAACTGTACTTGTTTTCATTGTCTTATAGATTGGTGCTATTGCAGAGCCACCTCCTCAAATCGGTATTGTTTTGTTTCTGTGTCATTGTTTGCTCATCTTTTATTTACATTTTTACTGTTATACCAATTCGCTTTCCTTTTGTAGATTCTTCTCCCAGGGCTTAGTTTATGTACTGTTTATTTTCCTTTTCATTTTTAAATTGTTAAAATTTGTGTAGGCGAGAACGAGAGTGAGAATGAAGATGAGAAGCAAGTGAGTGCAAAGAAGCAGAAGAGAGATGAGGTTGTTGAGGAGCAAGGGAATAACAACGAAATTATTTCAGATGATTCCTTTTCAGATTCTGAACCTAGAAAGGTATTTATTTGACACGAGAATTAGGATTTTACTACATGCATATTAGGCTTTAATTTTGTTCCAGTATAGGTATAATGATTTTTTTTTATTGACTTTATTTGTGTTTTATTTTTTGCTTTGGCCATCCTTAAGCTAAAAAAGGCTCTCTAAGTAAACAGGAAAAGATTGATGCTAACTTATCCAGTTTTTTCGAGTCATTGGCTGATGGTTCTGAGGAGGACGAAGTGAGTAAATGCATTTCTCACAAAGATGCAACTATTGGGAACTTTTAAATTGATAGCAGTTTCTTTCTTGATGGCTGGAATGCTTTGAGTGTCTGGCTATCATTTCCTTTTTCTGGGCACCAAAGTCCTAGGAGGATTGACCTAATGCTACAAAGAAGGAATTTTAATCAAGTCAATTCTCCAGAGAGTATAGTTATAGGTCTTGATTCTGACAGAAGCTTTGATTAAGGCATCACAAACAAATACTGAGTTATTGATTTTTATGTTATTGGTTGATTATTGTACTGCAATATATTAATAAAGGAGCATTGGTTAATGCTTGGAAAATGAATAAATTTGTTCATTTGTAATTCAGTTAGAAAAGATAATAGATGTAATTTAGTTTTCAAGGTACTCATATCTGTAATCCAATTATTGAATAGAGACTGAACAACTATGACTTCACTAAGACTAGGACGTTGGAAGGGATTCTTCACAAGATGATAGATGGTCTATTTGATGCCTTGTTTTGCTATATATAAGCTGGGACGACAATATGTAGTATTATTGGAATATAAAGTTGACTTGGGGAAAGTTGTTGAGGATTCTGTAATCGAACAATATCAAATTGGTCATATAACATGTTATTTCCTGGAATTTTGCAGCCTAAAATGCTAGCTACCCCGAATGAACAAAATGCTGGATCGAAGACAATATATACTAGAAACTTGTCTTACAGTGTGGAACGAACTGATCTGTATGTATTATTTTTCATGTAGGTGCTTGTTGATTATTTTATGGTCTGTTTTTCTAATCTTGGAGTTATTCAGGGAAGATCTTTTCAAAGAGTGTGGAGAAATTGTTGATGTTCGTCTTCATACGGATTATGAAGGGAGGTTTAGAGGCTTTGGACACGTTGAGTTTGCAACAGCAGAAGCAGCACAAAAAGTGAGCTTTGTTACCTAGTGTGGTCTTTGCATGTGAGAATATCAATTCTCTTGTGGTTTAGTTCTTCAATTAGTCTCTTTTTATTTTCAGCCAGCTGCCTCTTGTAGTTTGACTAATGTGCTGTGAGACAGTAATAATTGACTCATTGTCAGTTGTAACTATCATAGATGGCACCTGTTAGGATTGAATTATCTAAAGCCTCTGCATTATAAATAAAGTTGTAAGCAGAAGCTGATAAAGAGAAATATTTTTCTCTGTAATTCAAAGTTTTCCCTCCGGATAATATGGTATCTGAGCTTAGGTTCGTCAACAATGACAGATTCGATTCCACCACCGTTCCCCTCCTTCCTCATTGGCGCTTTCTTCTTCTTAGGCGCTGCTTACTTTCTTGCACACTATTACCGAATATCTCACTGAAAACTATTTTCTTCTGCAGTGTCAATAGATTGAGCTAGTGATTATAGGACATTGTCTTCATTCATATCTTGTTCTTCTTTGAATTTCTTTGCACTTCCTCACCAAAGATCGCAACAATGGCATGGTTAATCCTGTTATAAATATCATAGATATTTAGGGGTAAAAAATATCTCTAAATAACTTTAAATATTTGTTTCCCTATTTCCTTATTATTGTTATTTTTTTTAATGCATAGTTATTTACCCTATAAGAGGGAGATTAGTGAATGTACAATATACACATAAACATAGAATTTCCTTTTCTTTCAACTTGGTATCAGAACTCACGGCCTTGGGAGTTTTGTTTTCGCTGCTCAATATTGGTGCTGTTGTTGGCCACCATTGCTGCCTATGGGATCAGTGGTCAGACCAGAAGGTGTAACTCTCGTTTGCCATTCAAACATCAGAAATGACTGTTCTTCGGTACTGTTCAAGGAAAGACTGTTCACATAACGATTTTAGCACTAAAACTCACCCCATTACCAACACCTTGTTACAGTCATTATAACTATTAACTGCTGACATCGTTGTGAAATCAGAACCAACACAATCCCTTTCTTTTTTCCCCGAATTGCGACCTCTCCCTTTGTCATGCTGCCAATTATTTGAACCATCAAAGCTCATAAGGCTACTGAAACCATTGACTGACCTCAAATTGTCCTCGATTCTGCCATTGAAACCTTTAACCGTCCACAAATTTGAAGCATCAATGTTGTCCCTGACTTTTGCCATCTAAACCACCAATGTTATCACTAACTGTGTCATTGCTTCATCAACTTTCCACGACCAATCCTTGCTGGAACCAGCCTCACTACCAACAGCAAGCCTCCAAGCCTTCTATCCATGCCTGGCTCCAACCACCATGCCTTGCTGCACAATCCATAAATCATAATGCACCATTGTGAGTAAACCTCAACCACACCTTAGTCTTTCTCACCATTGACAGAGTTGTATCTCCACTAGAACTCAAGGCCATTGTGTTTCTTCTTTCTTAGGCATGCCACCATCAAAATGGAGGTCAGAAATGTAGAATAGGATGGGATTGTTTTGAAAATGTTTGAAGAAAATATGGGAAACCAGTTTTTCGTTTTCAAATTTGGGCTTGTTTTTGAAATTTTAAGATAAAAGATTTCCTGAAATTCAAACAAACATTTTCAGTTGTTTTCCATGAAAATGGAAATAGAAAATAGGCATACCAAACAACCTTTCCTTTCTCTTCTTGATAAACAACTACCTATAGAGTGGCCTAAATGGTTGGCCATGTCAATAACTTTCTCTTTGAATATATTCTTGATATGGCAAAGGCCTTGTGCCCTGCTGCTGCTAGAATTGGCATTTGAATTTTCAGTTGAAGCCAATGGTTTTAAATTTTGAGTAGAATGCTGTTCCATGGCCCAACTTGATTCTGATTGAACTGGGTTGCAGTGTTACACCCAGAATTCACAGCCTGATTTGACACTCATGGTTTTAGGTATTCAGTAATTGCTCCTGGTAGTACAGAATGATTTGCATATATTGGAGCATTTTTTATTGGCTGTTTTTGGCTTTTTTTATGGTCTGTTTTTGGAACATCAGCCACTCCAAACAACTCATCTTCAATGGATCGGGCAACGCAGATTGCCCTTTGAGAATTCTATGGGTCATGTGTTTTTACCTTCCTTTTGATAGCATTGCTTAATAATCCATTCATAAAATATACCAAAGTTTCTTCCAGAATTTCTAATAATGTGCAAGCAACATTTCAAACTGATGCACATAATCTTCAACACAAATTGTTTGATGGATAGCGACAAGTTGGACATAAGGATTCCTTGCTCCAGTTCTGGAAACTATCTCGAGCAATTCTGCAGTCATTGTTTCCCAATTCATGTTTTTCAACTTCTGCAGTCTCTTTTTCAAATCCTGAAACCAATGCGGAGCAGAGTCACACACAAAGGCTAGAGGCACCGTCTTCTCTTGTCTTTTGTTTTGAATTTCAAAATACTCTTCTGCCCAAGCCAACCAAACAATTGAATAACTTCCATCAAAATTGGGCAACTCAGCACTCTGCATTACCTGTTTGAGTGTTTCGGTATATTCACCTCCATCGTAAGTGGAATTTGCATCCATATGTTCACGAGGATGTGTTACAGGAATTCATGAATGACTAGGACTTCCTGTATCACAATCATCCATCTTTAGAGCCTTTGGCTTCATCCATTCTGTTAACAAAACATGTATCTCATCCAAACTAACAATATTCTCTATCATTTCATCAATTGTCCTTTGGATTTCTTCTACATTCTGCCCCATGGTCCCAAGACAAATGATCATGGTCACTGATCAGAATTGGATCTTCACAACTCCTCACTATACTAACAAGTAACAAATCAATTCCACTTTTCTTTCCATGTCTTCCACTCTTGAGTACATCCTCAATAATGACATAGGGAAGGTTGGACCAATTGTTAAACTTAAGAAATAAACACTGAATATTGAATAAATTATCGAAATAATCAGGGTTTATGACCAGATTTTGGGTACATACATGTCATCCTTCATAACACTCGAAATAACAATTTGATGCCTTAATTAGTCTGTCACAAAACCTATATAACAATATAATTGTCACACCAAAATATATAGCTGCCTAACTGGAAATTAACAAAAATAACTTTCTATTTATAATTATAACTGCCTAACTTGGCCTATAGATTAACATTGTTATTTCTAGGCTTTCTTATATATTTATTGCCTGTGTTCTTATACCTCATCATCATCTGTAGTCTGTTCGTTGAATCCTTGTTCTATGTGAAGACATTGAGCTGAAATCAATTTTCTTTGTAATCACAGGCTCTTGAGTTGAATAATTTTGTATTGTTGCAACGTCGCATTGCAATTGGTATAGCTCGAGAAAGGGGAGAATATACCTCCAATAGAAGGTAATGTTCATATATAATGAAACTGCAATTACTTGCCTCTTGTTGCTGTTTGTTGACAAAATTTCCCACTCAATAGTGCTAGTGTAAATTTCTTAGGAAACTTGTTCACTTGGATTTCAAGGATATTTTTATTTTTCCCATGCAAATATTTATTTTGTAAATTTTTGTTTGGCTAGTTATATAACTAGGTTAAGAAAGTAGTGCACAAGAAGAACATCTAAGCCAAACCCTTATTCTGAAGACTAAATCCTAATGGCTTTTTATTATAATAACTCTTGACAATCCCCCTCAAGCTAGAGCATAAATATTAATCATGCCATTTTGTTACATATAAAATCAATACGCATCCCATTGTAGGCTTTTGAAAACAAATTTTCTAGCTTGTTACCTGCCCTAACATCAGAAGTATATATAACATTCTGTTGAATCTTCTCTCTAATGAAGTGACAATCATGTGTTTTGTTCTTTCATGAAAATTGAGACTTGATCTATGTTGTCAATAGCGGTTGTAGTGGCTGCAAAACAGTGGAGTGCAGCAGTTTGCGAAAAAAAAACTCCACACAATGAGAGTTATTTATTTATTTATTTCGTTTTTTTTTTCTGTTCACTTTGATTCTTATTTTTTCTTTCTTTTCCCTTTTTCTTTATGGTTGGCAGCAACGATTTTTGTTATTCTATTCTTTTTTGTTTTATACTTGTATGGTTTTGTTCTTTGGTGGTCAGCAGAACCATGGCCCAACCAAATGTTGATCAATAAAAAAATCAGAGCTTTGGTGTTGTTGGTACTGGTACACCGTGAGTGGTCAACAGCATGAAGATTGAATTTTAATGTTTACTTTTTTTAGTTACTTAGTACTTTAATTGCTTTAGGCTTTAAATTTAGATGATTTAAAGCTTTAAGCAACTTGACTCCTTGATTTTCTATTTATGTTTTGCTTAAGTACTATGAACTTATATTATTGAAAATGATTAATGCATGAATTTTGAGTTATTTTTTTAACTTATATATATTATTAATTATTTAATACATATAATTATAATTATAATATTATAATAGTGGTCATCTTGTTATCCCACCTTTGGGATCGGTTGCTCCTCTCTGCTATTCGAGATTGACAACTATGGACTTGATGTAATATGTATGGCAACTTGGTGATCACACCATAATTTCATAGGACAAGTGGTATCAAATCCCATCTCATCCAAGAATTGTCTTAACGTGAATAATCCATAAATAGTTTGAACCATAGCCTTGTATTTTGCTTCTGAGTTGGATCTTGTTGGTGTAAGCCCTAAAAGCCAACACATTTCCTTTTTGGTATACATTTGTATCATGTTTTAGTTTCATTTAATAATATGAGGTGTTTTAATATGTGTATTAAAACATAATAAAGTCTTTAAAATAGTTTATTTAATGTTATTCTTAAATGTCCCTGGTCAAGTATTATTGTAAATCCGGATAACAATAATATATTAAGACTAGTATGTGAGTAGATTGGTGATTGTGTATCATGGGTCATGGATTTGGGATTTCAAGTCTTCACATAGGTACATGATTAGTGTAATGATGTAATAGTGTTACTCACTATGAGGATTGAGGACATTAGGTAGAAAGTTATGTTTGTGTCATAAATGATTCTTAATTTGACCTTGGTGTATATAGTTCTTGGATGTGAAGTCCCTACGATTCCAATATAAGGACCTAAATGTTTTAATGTCATCAATCGTTGTCTATAATAAGGTGATTATAAAGTTGGTTATTGGACAAACAACAAATCATAAAGAGGAATGCGAGTGATTTAGACGGGATTTGTCCCTCCATCATAACATGAATATTATCTGTATGGACTCTCTTGATAGAGTAAGGCAAATTATGTACGGTCACGCTAAGTGAGTCAATATGGGATACAAATCTTAATTATTTTTAATGTCTTCTTGGGCATCAAGAAATAGAAAGAATTGAACTATACAAGGATGACATAATGTATGCCTTTTGTTCAATTGTGATATCTTGGATAGAGGGAGTAAGTTATACAAGAAAAAGAAAATTGTCATAAAGGATTACATTTGTTCCAACTTCCAATTGTAAGTTCGTTGACATTGTTAGGATCACCGCATTCGAGGTGTTGCCCACTTTGGCTCATGGTTATGTCCTTGAAAAGGCATCTCAGTTGGTTAAGGAAGGAAAGCATTTATAAATTACCCTTGACCTCAACTCCAAAGTGATCTAGAACTTTTAGACATATTGGAACAAGTCCTTCGGTCGAAGCTAAGGAGCAAGAGTGGTCTAGACCCTCCTTTTGTGCCAATGTTCTGAAGGAGGGTCTAGACCACTCTTTCTCCTTAGCTTCGACTGGGGGACTTGTTCCAATATGTCTAAAAGTTCCACATCGCTTTAGAGTCGAGGTCAATGATAGTTTATAAGCATTCTCCCTCCTTAACCCACCGAGATACCTTTTTAATGACAAAATCATGATGACACAACGAGCACCAAAGCGGACAACACCTCCAATGAGGTGACTATGACCCTAACGATGTCTACGGACTTATAGTCGGAACATTGGCAATAGGAGGGCCTAGACCACTTTTACCCCTTAGCCTCAATTGGGAGGCTTGTACCTATATGTCTAAAAGTACCACATCACTTAGGAGTTAAGGTCAAGGGTTGTTTATAAACACCCTCCCTCCTTAATCTACTGAGGTGCCTTTTTAGGGACAGAACCGTAATGGTCCAACAATTGGCAAATCGGGCAATACTTCGGATGCCATGTGTATGCTGTTAAGTATGCAGGGAATAGGGTCATGTGGTTTGGTGCCTAGAATAAAGAAGCCATATGCTTTGGGAAACAATAGTAGAGATATTAAAAGGAACTCTTACCTTTTGTGGTCAAGGCACATGATTTAGAGCACTTATTCATGAAATTAAGTTGGGTCCAGGGATGGTGTACTACGTCCTTACCGAAGGCTCGAATATCCTGTTCTGGTTGAGATATAGGTGAGTCTTCTTCTATTAATTCACAAATTGGTCTATAAACAAAAATGCAACAAACATAACCGAGAAGAGGGATGTGATTGATGTATATGTAGGACTATGAGTATATACGTTGTAGGTTACAATGACTTGAATATTAGACTTAGAATAATCTGAATGCTTGAGGAGATTGATTCCTCAGCCCTTTATTTATAATGTTTAGAAATAAATTACAATAATGACAAGATCCCTTGATTATAGGGATTATATAATCGTACATTCAATACAATAAAATGGTAACTTAACAAGAATAATAAAATAAAAAATATGAAATAATAATAATAGAGATCGAATAGAAATCAAGAACAAATCTCAGATGGAAATCTGGATCAAATCTCCACACTACCCCTCAAGCTGGAGCATATACATCATAGATATCTAGCTTGGAACAAATGGAGGATATCCTTGACCCTTTGAGAGACTTGATAAAAATATTTGTTTGCTGATCATTAGAATTAACAAAAGAGGTGGTGACTTCTCTAGAAACTATCTTCTGCATAAAGTGACAGTCAATTTCAATGTGTTTTTTCTGCTCATGGTAAACTGAATTAGGTGCTATGTGCAAGGCTACTTGGTTGTCACAAATGAGTTTCATGGATTCAATTTTGCAAAACTGAAGTTCACTAAGGAGTTGCTTTAGCCAAATCATCTCACATGTAGTAACAAAATAGCCCAGTATTTTGCCTATGCACTAGACCTTGCCATAGTTTGTTGTTTCTTACTCTTCCATGAAATAAGATTGCCACCAATTAGAACACAATATCCAGAGGTTGATCAACAATCACTAGGGGAACCAGTCCAATCTACATCTGTAACTGCTACAATATTAGTGTGACCTCTATTCACATAAACTAACCTTTTTCCAGAGGATCCTTTTATATATCACAAAATTTAAACCACAACATCCCAATGAATTTTGCATAGAGAATTGATATGTAGACTAACAACACTGACTGGGAAGGATATGTCAGGTGTATTCATGGTGAGATAATTCAATTTCCCAACTAATCTATGATATCTTCCTGGATTTGAGAAAGACTCCCCCTATTTGGCATTAGGTAATCTACATATGTACATTTATATGATAGAGTTGTGCAAGAGCATGCTGTCTGTCACTGTTTGGTAACATATTTTCCTACCTAATTGCACTTGAATAAATTTCCTATAAATATAGCCATTTTGAGCAGGAGAAAATTTTTGTTTTCTCTTCTGCATTTGCATGGTTTTCCATGTCTTGTAATGTGTGTGTGTATATATATTTTGGTATAGGGTAGGGTGTTTGGATAAAATTTAGAAAAAAGAAAGCACTTTCATGATATAGTTTTCTTTTCAGCTATTTTCGTAACTTCTCTCTCATCTTATGGAAAAAAACGTTAAAAAGTTTACTTGTTAGATTTTACTTTTTCTTTTCTTTTATCAACATTATTAATGCTTTTAAATATTCATTATAAATTAAAAATGTAATTTTAAACACATAGAGATGAGCCTTTAATCTCTTGTATTAGTACATTTCTGTATCTTGTCTTACGCCCACATCTTCACTTTGTTGTTTCCTTGTTAACAATTTTAGCAACTGGAACGACTTCCATAAGTGTGCAAGAAATCCGTCTCCAACTATATTTGTGAAGGGTTTCGATAGTTCCCTTCCGGAAGGAAAGGTAATTTTTTCTCTTACCATTTTTGATTTGTTACAGGATATCATGAATCTCTTTCTATTGCATTGTTGCTTGGTTTAACTGTTGTGCTGAGCTGTATTTAATGCCTACTTTTTCCTTTTAGATAAAAGCTAGCCTAGAAGAGCATTTTGGTTCTTGTGGAGAGATTGCAAGGATATCAGTTCCGGTATTTCATGATTCTGGTGCTGCTAAGGGGTATGTTTCTTGTTATGTTGTAAGTTAGGTTGTAATATACTGTTGAATGATTCGACATGCCACTGTGTTAGAATTCATGTTTCCATGAGAATTGAAAGAAAAGGAAAGAATTTAAGAGTAACTGTAACTTTGAATTATCATTACAAATGTGAGAATGCAAGGATACTAAGTATGTATGCTGATCTATTACAGTTGCTGTCAGTTATGACTGATGTGACAGCTAACAACTTTCTTAACTAACAATCTAAACAGACTAACTATCAACATAGATATGTTGGCATGGGCACAAGATCACTGAGGCAAACAAGTCACAGGACCATTAGGTTAGATCCACTAATCACTCTATATATCCAACATTCCCTCCCTTAAGCTCAAGGTGGTTGACATGGCTTGTCAAGTACTTTGAGCTTATCTCTTAGCCCTTGAAACCGGATAGATGCAAGAGGAACATTAAGGTTTTTGTTGTTAATCTTTGCCTGAACGAAGAAGATATCGAGCTTTGTGTTTAGTGCGAGAGTGGGGCACTGGATTGGGAGAAAGAGCAACTATGCTAAGGTTGTCACAAAAAAACCTTAGATGCTTAAAACTGTACTGCAATTCAGCTTTGGTGCTTGATCAACCACTGAAGTCTGCTTTTTCAAGTACCAGGAAACAAGGTTGGGACCAAGATATATACTGGAACTAAAAGTTGATATTATATGATATTATGATCAACATCTGATACCTAATTAGCACCAATAAGCCAATAAGTGTGAGAGTTGACACCGGGGTAGCATGTTGAAATAGCAAGCCATGATGAAGAGTGCCCTTGAGATACCACATGTCAATGGAATTAGGAAGATTATTTACCATTAACTGCACAGATTTGTTGGTCTTCTAAACCAGCATATCCTGGATGATTTTATAGCTGTAAACCTGTAATTATGTAATTAATTAGGTCAGCTGTATGCTTGCAATTTAGCAAGATTTATGGCTACATATCATCTTGTATGAATACTATTTAAATGAGAATTCTCCAAAGGGGAACACAGTTTTACCCTCACATTTTCTATGTTTAACATGGTATCGGTCTTAGGTGCAATCAAAACCTACTTTTTTTTTTGAGCTTTTTCTTTCCGCTGATCCTTATCTCTAAATTCTCTGTTATTTCCCTTGACATCGATCCTAGTTCTCTGCATTTTTTTCTCTGAGGATCATGTCCTCTGACAAGTATGACGTCCTCTTTGTTCTTCCTAATGGAAAGAAGTAGTCTACATTAGCGTTTCAGTTCTAGATTATTGTCAAAAAAATATCTTAAATATACGTTTTTATTAGTTGTAAATATGGAAACATGTAACATAAGAAATTCAAGATTGATTTATTCTTTGTATCCTTAATTACTTCCTATCTTGTTTACAAATAAAGATCAGGTGTGTGGTTCTTACACACATTCAAATAAGTAATGTTTTTACATGGTATTAGTAGTAATTTTTCTTTTTACAATCCTGGTTCTGTTTTTCACCGGTTGCCATGCAGTGAACAGTAACCACAATCTTGACGCCTTTGCTTTCAATTCTCAGTCCTTTTTCTAAGAATTACCATTGTATTGTAAAAATTTAAATTTTGGCCTTCCTCCATTAATTTTCATTATGAAAATGTTCAAGATAAATTATCTTATTGTGATAAATTTTAAGATATGATAATTATATTGTAATATTATAATACAATTATTTTTGACTTAAATATATTTTTAGTCCCTCAAATTTAAGCTAAATTTGTTTTTAGTTCCTTAAATTTAAAACTGATCTTTTTAGTCTTAGTAATTCTAAAAAATCTTACTTTAGTCTTTATACTCTAAGTTTGCTAGAAAATCTGTCAAATAATGTTACATAAAATTTATTTACTAGTGTCTTTATTAGTAAAAACATCACATTAAACCAAGTTGCTGGTGTATAACTATCTTAATCTATCATTTTTAGATATATTATTGGTGACTTGAGGGACTAAAATAAAATTTTTGAAAATTACAGAGACTAAAATCAATTTTAAATTTGAGGAACTAAAAACAAATTTATTCTAAATTTGAGGGACTAAACATATTTAAGCCATTATTTATTTTGATTCTTAAGCTACTATTATCTAACTAAGTTTGTTATTTTCGAGTTACTTTTTTTTTTTCATTTATGTTGTTTTTTATTCATAGATGTATCAATATTAGTACAATTTTTATTATTGAATATGATTAATGTATGAGTTTTGAGTTATTTTTCTGTTTTGAGCTTATATTATATTTTATATGTTGGAAAAACAGAAATATCTTTAGGGGTTTATCAGAATAAAAACATCTTTTAGGGGTTTATCTAAATAGATTTATCTTTAGGCGTTTCTATGTGTCTTAACTTTTATTTCTGTTTTATCTATTTCCTCTTTTATCCGTAAGTCATAGTTTCCTCATTTTTTGAGTTGTTCTTTGTCGGTCCTTGACTCCATGGGAGAGAAATTAAGAAACTGAGGACACGTCATTACCTTTTTTTTCTTTGCATGATGTCCAAGAAACCCATAGTGAGGTCACAAATGAGATAGAAGAAGAAGCCCATTATGGAAAGGAAGAGGGTGACTGATTCTTTGGAAAGAAATATCAAAGGTAAGAGAAACCCACTTTGGTCTCTCAGAATGAAGAGTCGTTTGACCAAGAGGTAAGGATTTTTAGAAGTAACATCGAGGCGGTAAGTTTTAATGATGATAGACCCATTGTCTTGAGTAAAGGAAAGTTGTTGTGTGGTAATATCCTATTTCTCAATATGTTTACACTAACCATCTTTCTACCCCACATCAAAGTTTTATTGCTGACCAAGCAATGAGATTATGAATGTTGGAGTCAAGTCATGAAGGAGCAACTTGGGTGATTGTTGATCAACCCAAAGACAAGAATGCTATAGGGTGCATATGGATATTCACAATAAAATACAAATATGATGGGAAAGTAGACAGATACAAAGCAAGATGGCAAAGGAATACACTTAAACATATGGAATAGACTATGAGGAGACATTTGCTCTTGTAGCAAAAATGAATACAATAATGTTCATCCTTTCCTTGTAGCCTACTTTGGCTAGGACTTACGACTATTTGGTGTTAAGAATGCATTCCTTCATGGAGATCCCTAGCATTTGGAGTCCATAGTGAAGAAAACAAGGTGTGCCTACTGATAAAGGCCTTGTATGTTATTAAGCAATCTCCCCGAGCATGGTTTGGTAGATTTATTCAAGCAATGATTTCCGTGGAATACAAACAAAGCTAAGGTGAGTGTACCCTATTCATAAAGCATTCTCCTATCGGTAAACTTGATTACCATATTGCTAGTCTATGTTGATGATATGATCATTGTAGGAGAAGATGAGATAGAAAAATTAACCTTGAAGGAGAAACTAACAACCTAATTTGAGATGAAAGACTTGGAAAGCTAAAGTATTTTCTTGGTATAGAGGTTGCCTATTCCAAGAAAGACATTTTTATTTCCCAAAGAAAGTATGTCCTTGACCTACTCAAAGAAACAAAAAAGTTGGGATGTAGGGCCGCACGGGTTCCTATTGAACAATATGCAAAACAAGAAGTGAAGAAAGTCCATTAGTGGAGAAGAGTCAATATCAAAGATTGGTAGGGAAACTAATTTACCTATCTCAAACTTGACCAAATATTGTCTATGCTATCAGTGTAGTTAGTCAATTTATGCATGATCCCCGAGAGAGGCATATGCAAGCAGTAGAAGAGTGGTAGAGTTGGCAAAATGGGCTACTTGGTCCATTGCATGCTGGCCCAATGCGAGCCACAAGCTATAATGGATTGAGTCAAAAAGGCCCATATTGAATTTGGTCTTCTAAATTGATGTCCAAGCCTAGCCCTATGTGGGCTACGGACTTTTCAAGCCGGCCCATTTCTTTTAGTATGGATATTTGGTGGCGGGGTTTCTAATACTTGACCATCAACAACATTATTAACATCCTTTCCAAAACTAAAATTATCCAATTTTTATTATGTGATATGTATATCACATCTACGCATATTATAACAATGAAACATGCAACTTCTTCAATTATTCACCATCAAACTCTATATAAAAAATTAAAAACAAAATTGGAAAACATAATTTGATTACATAATCACAAATTACACATTCTAATGAAAGTACTTTTGTTTAACAATTTATGTTGATATTTTTTTAACATCTTTCTTAATATATATATATATATATATTATATATATGACATGCACTAGCAAGTGGCTACAACAAGTTTATAACTTTTGTTTCACATTCAGAGATCAAATATGGGAGATCAACATTATAAAATTAAAGTGTAAAACATTTGATGGTTTATAGTTAGATCATTTTACCATATAAAGAGGAATAAGTGAGAGTTGCAGGCTCCCAGCTTATAGGAAGCTTTGCCCAGCCACAAAGCAATTCCAGAACAACATCGTGAAAAAAAAAAAGGATTATGTGTATGACCGTATTAGCAAGCTAAAAGTTTGAATATTTGACCTTGCTTTGTGATTTTAGTCTTTTAGACTTTTGACTCGTAGACTCTAGGTTTTTCTCTTTTACTTTTCAGCAATAACTAAATTATAAAATGCTAAAATTAGAAAGGAAAAAAAAAAAGGCAGCCTGTGGCCTGACCTGAGTCTGTTCATGAAACAGGCTTTATTGTGCCATGCTAAAAAGGTTGGTATTTGGGATTGAATGTTAGAGCCCAAGTCCTATAATTTCTCAGGCTGGTTCCGGCTAGCTCGGTGAGCTTGGCCTATTTTGCTAGGTCTAAATAATAATCATCTCGCTATCCGCTATCTCACTTTTGGGGTTGATTGCATACAATAAGGCTGTTACAGGTTCAATTTTTGTGCATCTCTTGTATACAACACGAGATATTGGATCTCATGTTTTCTTGACATCAAATTACTTGGATCGTTCCATGGTCCAGGAGTATCTTTCAAGAACTCTTCTACCTTCTCATTAGGCAATTATATGTGGGCTGCCCCAATAATAGTCAAAACTAAAAGCCCCAAAACATTTTTTTTCCGTTTCTATCCCTATGACAACCCCCCACGACCAAACCTTATTCCAAATAGGTAAACTGTAAATACACATAAGTTAGTACATGACTTTTCCGCTATACAAGTTTCTAAAACTTTTATACTTGGAAACACTTGCGACCAAAAGCTAAAGCTTCTCTACGTAACCATTGCACCTTTATGAGCTTTTCCCTTCAAGTCCAAGGCTTTTCTTCACCATGATCCTTGGTGGGCAAACTTGGTTCATTTTCTCTCTTTGCCTCCACGACTCTTTTACCACTCTCCATCTGTTCTTTTCTGTCACTACAATTTGCATTTCTGATTAGTGGGTATCTGCAAAATTAATATTTCAATTTACCTACTTTTGTGATTGAGGATGTCAAACTCAAGGGGTGCCTCTTCTCAACCTGCAAATTGCGTGCTTAAAATGTGGCAAAAAAATGCACTTGAAAGTAGAACAGATGTTGCCTGGAATCATGGTATTTTTGTTGATGTAGATAAAAAAATAATAATAATAATCAATGTCAATACTGTCGAAAGGTATTGACAAGGGGTGTTTACCTGTTGAAGCATCACTTTGCCGGAACACAAAGATGTTGAAATTTGCTAGAGCATGAGTGATGAAGGAGATGCCGAACGTTGTTTTTAATTTTGAAAAAAATTGATGAAGAAATCAAGCTTTGGAGGGGATGAGGAAGATGTACCTGGTGAAAAGAGAAAAAGTAGTGATATTGGTAGCTTCCAAATTATTCTTTAAATGAGAGGAATAAGCACACAAGCCACCATTAATAGCATTTTCAAGAAGGATCTCAAAGATGAGGCATGTAGAGATATTGCAAGTTTTTTCTACATTTTATACCATACCTTTCAACGTGCCAAGGTGTCAAGTATTTCTTATTATGGTTGATTCAGTTGCAAAACACGGCGTGGGATTTAAGCCTCTTTCTTACCATGACATCAAAGTTAAGAATTTGAAAGAAGTTGAGAACACAAATCAATCTTTGGAAACACAGAGCTACATGGAAGAAAACAGGGTGCTCTATAATCACTGATGGTTGGGACAGACAAAAGGAGGAGGACCATAATAAATTTTCTGGTGAACACTCCTAAGGGAACAGTGTTTTTGAAGTGCATAGATGCTTCTATAACAGAAACAGTTGTCAAAATATTTGAGATGATAGATGAAGTTGTTGAAGAGGTTGAGAAAGAGAACATTATCCAAGTTGTGACAGACAAAGCTGCAAATTATAAAGTTGCTGGGATATTGTTGATGGCAAAGAGAATAGGGATGTATTGGACACCTTATGCAACACACTGTTTCAACTTGATGCCAGAAGATTTTGAAAAGAAGATCCCCATTCATCAAGACAATTCCTAAAGCTAGGTTTAACTTGTTTTGCCACATCTTACCTTGCTTTAAGTTGTCTTCATGAGAACAAAAGTGTTTTAATTAGAATGTTCACAAGTAACCAATGGAAGGACAAGAAGTTTGCAAAGACAACATGAGGGAGATTGCTTGATGATATAATTTTGGAAACATATTGTAATTTGTCTTAGAGGTGCATCTCCTTTAATCAAAGTTCTTTGGATGATTGATTCAGATGAGAAACCAGTCATAGCCCATAGGGTTTCTTTATGAGGCAATGGACCCCGCTAAGGAGAATATCCAAATAGAGTTGAATGACCAAAGGTACTATGTTTATAATTGTTTACTGTTTTGTGTTACTGTTATTGGTTTCAAAAGTAATTGTAATTCAATTTATTTTATTTTAGTTACAAGCCTCTATGGAATATATCATTGATTGAAGATGGGGAAACCAACTTCATAGGCCTTTACATGCTACTGCCTATTATCTGAATCCTGATTTGCATTATGGACCTAATTTTAAAGTTTATTTGGAAGTTAAAAAGGGTTGAATTGCATGTATATAGAGGATGGTGAAGTATCTTGAAGAACAAACTTCTGACTGATATTCAAATAGAAGGCTTCAAGAATCAAACGGGGATTTTTGGTAATCTCATAGCCATTAAGGAAGTTGATAAGAAGCCTCCAGCAGCTTGGTGGGAAACTTATGGGAATGAACAGAACTCCAAAAGTTTGTCATACATGTATTAAGTTTGACCTTCAGTTCATCTGTATGAGTGTAATTGGAGTGCATTTGAGATGGTATGTAGAACATGCATTATTAGCATTTAAATAATTGAGTTGCTTAGCCAAGCTTTATCATATTTGCATTTGAATTTGCTTTGGTTCACACTGAGAGAAGAAACCCTTTGAAGCAAAACACCATGAATGATGTTTTTGTAATGGCTAATTCAAAATTGGCAAAGCAGAAGCTAGAAGAACAAATGTACAGGTACTAGTACTTGATGATATTTCATTATATGATGAGTGGATTTTGGAAAGTGATGAAGAAGTCGAAGTGAATGAAGAATTGGATATTCCAAATACAAACGAGGATAAGAATGATGTTCTTGAAGTGCTACCTATAGATGAGACGCATCTTGCTACTATGGTTAATGAAAGACAAGGAGATGGAGAAGATGGAAGAAATAAAAATAATGACATCTTGAATGATTATGATTTTAATTTGGATGATCTAGTTTAGTTTAGTCTTAGAGGTCTATAATTACACGTTTTATGTTGTTTTGCTACTAAATTTGAAACACAATAATTTAAGTTGTTTTATGTCATTTGAGTTTATTTATTGACTTTATGATTATGAATTTAACCATTAAGTTTAATTTAGTATTTGATTATTTTGATGTGTTATAATTTTTTTTTATTTTTTTATTTTTTTTATATTATCTTAGATGCATATTGTTAGGCCTTTAACCCATGTTTATAAGAGGAGGGGTAAACAGAAAGGAGATGGACTGGGAACAAATGGGCCAAGCAAGAAATGTAAAATAGATGTGATATGCATCACAGAATGTGCATGTGGCAAGAGAGCATTCAAATGGAATATTTTGCCATGATTGGAACAATAGTGGAGGACATATTTATAGGATAGGAGTGTAGCAAAAGGACGTTTGGGAATTAGGAGGATGAGGAATTGGTTAGGCATTTGCTTGGGGACTGAGGTTGCACCTTGCAGCTCGGGTTATCTTTATTTTTTTTTTCTTTTCTTCATTGTTATTCCTATTTTCCTTATTTCTTTCTCTAGACTTGAGTTATACTTCTCTATTGTAAAGGAGTTGATCTCCTAGAATTTCAGCTATTTCCTTTAATATACTACTAGTTTCTGTCACATATATGCATTTTATAAATCTTGTATAATCTATGTTTTGAGTTACGATTTCACATATTATGATTCTATACCCCCTTTCTGAGTTGAAATAGAATCTTGATTTTTTCAACCATTAGTGTGAGGGGGAGGGAATATCTTTTTTGTTAGAAACCCTATAGGTTGGGCAAGGAGCGAAGTATCTCTTCTCTGAGGAGCTTTGCTCTAGGATTACAAGGGTCTCTCTTGTAACATTTCTTACCTTTTGCTACTAATAATACAGTTTCAATTTCTCTTGAAACCTGTGTTTTATTACCAGCCCATAGGGGCTTGAAGGCAATAGTTCCTAAATTTGTCAAAAAATGAAAAAGTAACTAAAATATGCATTAATAGACTAATAGTGAAGCCTCCTGGTTAAGTTTCTCCAATAGAGCCTCAATATTTTTAGTTTGTATAAACCTTGAGCGATAAGTGACTGTAGAACTCAGGAAAACTTAAACATGTGAAAGAATTAGTGTCTTTTGCATTCCTATCTCAAATTTCATAATTTACAGGTTTGCTCACTTGGAGTTCAAGGATGTTAACAGTGCGAATAAAGCTCTACATCTTGATCAAACTGAGCTCGGAGGTTATCACTTGTTAGTTGAAAGAGCAAAGAAGACTCGACCTGATAACCAGGGTATAGGCAGTGACAGAGGTGGTGGCAGTCGTCATGAGTTTCGTAGATGGGATGGAAGTGGCTATAGCAGTAGAGCGGGTTGGGGAATAAGTGGCGGTGGTGGGTGGCATTCTTCATTTTCTGATGAAAACGCAGGTATTTCATTTTTTTACAGTTAGCTTTTTGTTTCCTTGTGTTAAAGTATTTTCGTGTAAGCATTTATTGAAATTGATACTAGTATGTAGTCGGTATGTTAGTCAACCAGCCGTTACTATAGGTACCTGACTCTTATGCTCTTGGTAATCAGGATCTTACTATCCACAATTCGATACAATTCGGCAATCTACCAATACATGTCATAAGATGAATTTTAAATGACTTTGCATCTTATATACAAGTATGAATCTATGCAATTTCATATCATTGATTAGATTCAATGATTCATTATTTTTTTCTTTTTTTGACCTTTCTTTCACCAATTCTCATGAAAAAAATTGAAAAGTCATATAAGCTTAAATTGTTAAATGAAAAAGAATTGAAGGAACAGTTTTGAACTTATCCTATTTGATTATTACAATACTCTATTTGTTACTCATTCAATGCATATACTATGTTTAGCTATTTGCATGCTTCGTCTCTATTATAAAATAAAGGTTTCACAAACTCACATAGTCATATAACTATAATTATATTGTTCTACAAGACTTTGCTCAAGTTGTTTTTATCTATTTTTAGCAAGTTTTCTACATTGAACAATATATATCATCTATATGAAATATTTGAAGTAATTTTTCATTGTCTCTGATTCAATACAAATAATGATCCATGATTCAAAAATTAGATCGGCAATTCACGAGTTGGATACCATTTTGATATCTTACTTATGCTGAGTTTGTACTGCTCTGCTGTAGCAGAGAATACAACTGATCGTCAGTTGCTCCTATATAAATCAGACCTCCCCTGTAAGATTGAGCTTGGTGAATATTGAAATTGGTTTCTTGTTCCAAATTCTTGGTTTCTTTGAAACTTTCCTTCCATTTTTCCTTTTTACTTTTTTTCTTTTGTTTCCTCACATGGTATTGCAAGCATTCCTCCAAGCCCTGAAAATCAAGAAATGATTGAAACTCTGCCACAGATCAATGATGTGCCACCATCCTCTAGTGGCGGTGGCCTACCTTCTACTCTTTCTGCACCAATATCTTGCATTTGTGGATTAAATCTCCGGTTGTACTGATACATATCACTCTAAATAGATTCTTGGTTCTGTGAGGAGCCAGACATCCTCACATGATTCGTTTCAAATGTTTTAACCATGCTTAATTACTCTTTTTCACTCTTCTAATGTTTTCTCAACAATTTATTCTGTTATAATTTATGTATATTATGTGACTTACTTGGACTGTCATTTTCATCATGTGACTTAAATAGTTATATTCATTTCTCTCCCTTTATTTTTTGAATACCTTGAAAGCTCAGTAAATATTATACAAAATGAAGTATTTTGACGTGAGATTTAATCATCTGCTTAGCATAGTTGTACTTCTGCTTCCGCAGCTACTGCATCACATATATATTTTCATTTTCTGATGATTTTTTTCATGATTTTTATTTAGGGAGGAAGAACCACTTTTATTGATGAAGACTCTTGCAGCAGATGTTGGAAATTTTGGTTAATTATCTTTCAGTTTTGGTAATTAATGGTATGAAGTCGTGAAAATCAAGTGGATTGGGATTTGTGGAATAGTGTCAATCGTATTGCTGTTGGGGTTACCCTGTCTCTGCTGCTGCGGTTTTGTTTCGCGAAACACAACGATTGGGATTGGAATTGGAATTGGAAAATAGTGGTTGTAAAGTTAAACCCAACTAAATTGTTGTAAGTTGTCAGATCGAATCCAAAACAATTAGAAACTGATCGAACCAAAAACTGAAAATTTGAATTTTTTTTTGGGGGTTGCTTTGACATTTGATTCAAACTAAGTTGAATGGTACTTTTATTTTGTATCAATTTTACTTGATGGATGCATCGCGTTGTGTAGTATTATTTTAATTTTTTTACTGGTCAAGGTCATATTAAGTAATTTACAATGTACCATCTCCTTTCTTATATATAAGATCCTAATACCTAATTTATCCAAATTAAGAAAATTAGTTAATCTAGTGGATAATAAATTTTTTTTCCCTAAAACTATCTTTGTACTACTTTAATAATTTTTTCCCCTAAAACTATCTTTGTACTGCTTTTCTTAATTAATACTTATCTCTTTTTATCAATTAGAGTATATGTTTTATACTACTCTCAATTAATTGATATTGTTTAATTTTACAACAAACTAGAATATATGTTTTTTTTAAAAGAATCTATAATTAATTTATTTTATCAAATTAAGAGAATATGTTTTAATTAGTAATATTTTAGTTTAAAGATATTTAATATATCAAACACTATAAATTGAATTTTATATGATAGGACAAATAATTGTTAAAAGTTAGGTCTTACAAAAAGAAATAGAAAAGAGATTTGTCATATTATTTTTGTTGTACTATTAGTAACAAGTATTAAATTAATTTATAACTTTCTCTTTGCTTTGTTATTGAGGTACACAATTTTTTTTTATAAGTGTACTAATATGGCTAAAAAATAACACTAATATTAAGTGATGTACGATTTACTTTTATGTTACAAAAAGATGTGTTAATACTTAATATTATTAAACAATACTAAATAGAAGTTAACGGATATTTTTTAAAAACAATTTGCGTTAGTTTAGTTATTATATTTTGTAATAGAGTAATTTATTTAAATAAGTTAATCAGGCTTAAAGGATTTTTTTAACAATTTAAAATTTATTTTATGGGGCAAAATCTGTCAACATCCTATGTCAAAACTCATGAAGTCAATAATTGTTTCTAGAATGTAAATTTAACAAATTTAACAATTAAATTATGTGCATAACAAATTTTATATAATTTGGATTTTTTTAGATATGTTAACTAATTTTTTATAATATAAAATTTTGTATATTTGATATAATTAGTGTATATATATATA